GCCTGATTGCAGAAAAACTGTATAGACTATGAATTGTTTTGGAGGTAAGATATATAGAGTAGGTATAAGCTATATCATAAAAACTCACTGTGCCATGCTAAGGAATATTATTTTAAGCCTACAGATAATTTGGTAAGAATTTTAATATGGAAATGACTTATTCAGATTTTAGAAGTTCTTTGTAGCATATGAAGAGTAAACTGAGGTGGGGTAGTAAGTAAGCAATTAAAGGACTTAAGAGCTTGTATGGATTTGGGAGATATTTGGCAGGTTAAATGATTTGTCAGGAATTACTGATCAATTGGATATGAGCAAGAAGAGAAAGATAAGTGTGTAAGGTGACTCAAGTTTCTTGATTATGCAAATATCGAAGGTTTTGGATATGAGCAAGAAGAGAAAGATAAGTGTGTAAGGTGACTCAAGTTTCTTGATTATGCAAATATCGAAGGTTTTTTTTTTTTTTCCCACTAAGTGATCTAGTGAGTCTAGGAGAAGGAACAATTTTGGTTGGTGGTATGTGAGTTTGACTGACATGGGATGTAATTTCTATTTAGGACATCAACAGTTGGTAGCATTTCATACTTTTGGATGGACATGTCAGTATAAGCACAAATACATGTAAACATCTTTATATTTAAGGACACAGGTTTGAGTTCAAACCTCAGCTCTGCTGTAATATTTCCTGTGCATGTGACTTTGAGCAAGTAACTTAAACTTTCTGTTTTGCAGTTATAAAATGTAAACAACCATACCTAACTCTGAGGATTGTGTGAAATAAATAATCTAATTAACAAAAATATAATAGTGCTTAGTATACAACTCCATAAATACTGTCATTATTTTTTTAGACATAGAGGTTAACAATGTGTTTTGGAGCTGGGGAGTGAATGAATTCATTGGAGAGAACACTGAGTGAGAAGAGAGCAGGGCAGATAGGGACTGTAGGGGAATGCCCATAAACTGGAACTGTAGAAATTTAATTGTCTTGACCTTCCCAGTCTGGCAATTATCTCCAACAGCTTATTTCAGGTTTTACTGGAGAAAGTACAGACTTTTATTTGTCATACAACCAGTCATAGTAAGACCTACTCTTGTTTCCCAAAGTATATCTTTTTCACACTCATTCATGTGTCGTGTACACACTTACTGATGCTGGAGGTTCCTCTATGCTCTGAGTTATCACAGAGATCAGCCATGGAATTGCTTTCCATGGGTTCTATTTCAGATTGGGCAGGTGGGAAGGCTACTCTGGGGAGGATGTACTGACACCACAGCAGCAGCATCTAGCCAATGAAGATTGTAGGGAAGAACATTCTAGGTACTACAAAGGTGGGGGACATTGAGAAATGCAGGGGCTTTTGTATAGGGCAGTGGGAAAAATGAGGACCTGAGGCCAGACAGCAATTAGTGACCCACCCAGGTGGGACTTTCTGAGTCTGGACCTACTCTAGGTGATCTGGAAAGCCCTCAGGAAAGCAGATTTTTTTTCTTTTTGTAAAAGAAAGTTGCTTTTTGAGTTAGTGTCTTAATGTATTGGCCAGATTGAATTTGGACTCATAGTCCAGGCTGACCTTGATCTCTTTATCCTGCTGCCTCAGCCTCCAAAATGCTTCAGTGACTGGCATGCACCACTCCTCCCTGCAGCAATGCATGATTTACATTTTATACAGAATCCTGTAATCTCAAAAGGCAAGAGTAAGGCAGAGAGTAGAACCAGGAGGCCAGTGAAATAGCATAGACCCGAGAGATCCTTAATTTTGTCCTCTTTTATAATTGTCAGGCTAAAACCCCATCCTGAACCTCTTGGTTTCTTAGAAGCCTCAAAGCTGTCCTTAAGTTGATCTCTATCAGGAGAGCTATCCTGAAAGTTGAGGTGCTTTGGGCTTGGAGAAGATGAATGTAAGCAGTGATTGCTACTAAAAATGCTGAATCTGACTCAACCCAAGGGTGCAGGAATGGTTTCTACCAACGGCATGCATTTTGTTACTTTCTTTTGGAGTTTGTGCACAACTCCTCACAGTTTGACAAAGGGTTTGTGATTCTCCAAAGGGTAACTAGTGGTAGACAGGGTATTGAACACCGTGAGGTGCTGTGGAGTCACAGAAAGCATGAATGCCGATGGTAAAGCTGCTTTCTGAGATCTGAGTGGCTAAGGAGAGGAGGAAGAAGTTAGACGTGTTTAAGAAGAAAAGTAAGTGAAAACAAGTGGGCAGATCATGTGGTATCCAGGGCAATGGTGAATGAGTCTTTCCCTTTCAACTTCTTCCCACCGCCCCCATACTGTGTATTGTATTTTTTTCCCTTAACAGTTCTGAAAATGCAGTTTTGCTTGACAGGCAATATTCATAAAAGCCACAAGATGGCGAGCTTGCTCTTTACAATGAAAGTAAGTGGAAGGAAAAGGAAAGAAAGAAGGGGTGGGAAGAGGGGGGGCTGAGGGGAGGAGGGGGAGGGAGATGGGGAGGGAGAGGGAGAAACAGGGAACAGAGGAGAGGGGGAGAGATCCCTTCTCTTGTTTCTACAACCTCCTTAATTTTCCCTATCCTCTCAGTTTCTACAGAAAGAACTGACAGTTTGGGTTGTAAACAGTTGATTTGAAACTGTAAAGATAAAAATAAAATAAAAAGACTTATTTGGATTCCAATGCATATTTATTTTCAGATCATTGAATTTTCAACAGATTATTCAATTTTGCACATTACCAAAGAGAAATCTTAGCAAACTGCTTTATTTATGGTCAAATTGTTGCTATTACTGATATTATGCTAAGGTAAATATAAGGTGAAAAGGCAGAATAACTTTTGGCTCCCACAGAAGTATGTATGATATATATCATATGTAATCATTGTTACACTCTTCTGTTTAATGAAGGAATGCTGGATTCCAACTACAAAAATTTTGAATTTTATGGATGTTTTGCGTTATTTCATTACTTAAGATATCTATTATTATTTTTTACTTCTAGACAGTTTTCCTTATGATTTTAAATATTGTATAGAAGAATATAAGCTAATATATTATTGATATATCGAATAATGCATATTTATTGATTTATATGTTTAAATATTAATGTAAAATTCCATTTGTTTTTGCTGTGTTGTCAAGTTGAATTCTGACAGTAAATCTACAAGATAAATGTCAATATTGCTATTTGACAGATAATACATTGAGGTTCATGGAAATTAAGTGAATTGTTTAAGATTTAATAGTGGCAGAACCATAATTTAATCCTAATCCTTAAGTTCATTCTCTTTTTCATTGTGCCTACTGTCTCTAATGAAACTATTTATGTATCTCTTTAATAGAAATACTTGGAAGTTGCAATTTAATTAGGATATTTGTGCTTCCCATTTGTAAGCTGAACAGAAAGAATTTATGTCAGAAGGCAACTATTAAGATGCATTTTTATTTAGTATGCTGTTTGCTTTTCTGAGTATATTTCCCTACAAGCTTTTATTTAGAGGATTCTAGAGTTGTGCTCATGGTGAGGGGCCTCAGTTTGTCTCATTTGAGGGATTTGGGCACCTGGATAGAAGTACATACTGATTTTCCTAACACTGAGCCAATTCCAACTTCACACATTTTTTAAAAAGGAATTTTCATTTTATTATAGTTTTTGAATACATTGTATTGTCATTGTTGCTACCCCATCCCCCCTCCAACTTCTCCTGTGTCCCCCAAACACCTTCATGAACTCTCTCTTTATAAACCCTACTGAGTCCAGTTAGTCTTGTCCTTGTGTTTAGGGCTGACCACTTAGAATTGAAGTCTTGTCCCAGAAAAAAAAGAAAGAAAGGAAGACCTGCTTTTACCCTACTTAGCCACTGATTGCCTGTAACTCTTCCTCTAGAGATGGAGCCTTGTGAAATTTTTCTCCATCCATATTGGAATGTTAACTGATGTTTTCTTTGCATATCTTGTGCAGACAACCATATTGCTGAACGTTCATGTGAGCATCATCCCTGTCCTATCCAGAAGACACTTTAGTGCAGCAGTTGTCCTAGTCCTCAGGCTCTTATAATCTTCCCCCCTCCCCCTCATTGGCAGTGTTTCCTGAGCTTTATGTGTATGCATTGTGTTATAGATATCACATTTTGGGCTGGACACCCCTTAGTCACTTATTCTCTGCAAATTGACTGGCTGTTGATCTCTCTAATAGTCTCTACTGCAGAAAGAAACTTATTTGACAACATGTGAGAGCGGCACTTATCTATGCATATGAGTACTGAAAAGGCAGCTGAAACTATATTACATTAATAATATGGTAGTAGGAGGTTCTCCTCCAGGGCCTATGACCTCTCCAGTCTCAGGTTCTTGGCTAGGTTTATAGTACCAGGCATGAGTTCCCTCCAATTGAGCAGGCTTTAGGTTTACTTAGACAACTGTTGGTTAATCCCCATGATACAAGTGCTACTATTGAACCATTGGTGATATCTTGCCTGTCTTGTTATGATTGTGGCTCTCAGGCTTTACAGCTGGATAAGACTGTTGATAACTTTCCCCCCTTGACAGCTTGTGTCACATCTAATACTATGAGAGCTAGCCCTCAGGGAGGAGGTAGTTTGATTTCTTCAAGTAAGTAGTGTCTTCAGCAATAGGGTCTTACTTTCATATTCTGTCAGGCAACCAAGAGCAATGGTAATATCCTATATTTTTTGGGGGGGGTCTCTGAGAACCCATGGACCAACAACTCAAAGGGATGTATCCCTTGCCCAACATGTTTTTTTGTTGTTAGTCTATGGTTTCTGGGGGCCAGGGAGCATTATCCCATTGTGTCAGGTAACTGCATTAAATATATACTATATGTGTATTTTAAACTAAGCTTATAAAATTATAGGTTTCTAAACACCATTAGTGTTACTTACCCCCTTTCTTTTCATTACTATTTCCTTCAAGGGGCTACACAATTTTAACAGGAACAATATGGCAGTATCTCTAGAGGTACATGATTTTGGCACACTATCACATCCTGTGGCTCTGACTGTCTGTTTTTCTTGCAGGGTATGGCCAGACAGGATCCATGTCTCAGCGTGCTGGTTATGATGCTGTTGCCTCTGCTATTTCTGGTCTGATGCATATCACAGGGCCTGAGGTAGGTATTCTTTTCAGAATATTCTTAAGTTTACCCTTATATACTCCAGAGACATTTTCTTCTTCATTAAATTAAACTTGAATTAAATTTAGAAAGAAGCCAGGGAAAGTGAATGGCTTATTAAAATAAAACAGAAGTGTGGTTATTACAAGTGAACTGAAGCCTAAACTTCAATATGATCCCATGGAAAAGAGTAATCTTTTTCAGCAAGTGATGGATTATTTGGTGAACACACTTTTTCATGTTTATTATAGTAGTAAAAAATAATCACCTTTTTGTGACTTAGAATTATTTCTTCCATGAATTAGAATAGCTGACTAGACCATAGATACCCATATCTGTTAAGAGTGCTTGCATTTAGTATGTATATATAAGTTTCTTTTTTCTTCTAGAATACTGTAAGTAGATATGTATTTGAAAATTTATTGCTTAAATGTATAGTTGTTTCTGATTTGTCATATGCATTAGAATCTAACAATAGAAGAATTATTTGATTCAATAATCCCTTACCATTGATGGTGTGTTGGGAGTTTCTAAAGGGAAATATATATCCAAAATGTGGTTGGTTAGATCAAAGCAAAGACTTTTGGTGAAAAGAATATGAACACTATTAAAATAAAACAAAAACAGTGGATGAAAGCCTACCAAATAAAATCTTAAAAGGCACCCATTTCAAAACAAATGGGACTCGTAAGCTTAAAATGTTGTTTTCAGTAGGTATTCTTTCTCTGAATTTCCTTAGTTAATTCTTCTAGACAGATTGCTGCAGTACTCAGAGAAACTGAGGCAGAGTGACCTCAACTCTTCTCTTTTGTAGTCTTATATGTAATTAAAAGCAGATATGGGGTTTTAATGTCTCAAGATATAAGGTCTTTTGTACTTCTGTCTTCTGATATTTCATTCTCAGTCACAGAAAAAAATGTACATAATCCTTCTTTAAATATCCAAGGGAACAGTTTTCTTTCTGTTTATTGAGAGAATGGTGTGTGTACATATCTCTCTTTGTTCTTTCTATCCCATGGGCTCTCATATGTCCAAAATGTCATTATTGTGAGTGCTTTTATTTAAGGGCACTGAAGTCAATTGGGAATAATGTGAAAACATCTGGGATCTGTAAATTTCTTATTCAGATGCTAAAATAAATAAAAAATGACTGAGGTAAAGTACTAATGTGGTTCCTTTTGTGTGACTGTACTATATTCTGACAGGGATAAACATATATTTTGTGCTTAACCTTGCAACTTAAAAAATTTATTTTCTAATTAGCATACAAAGTAGCAGGCTTCATTATGGCATTTTCGTACATACTTTTATTGATTCTTCTACCTGTTCTCCCTCATATTCACTCCTTCACTGTACCTTTCCACCCACAGTACTCCTGTATCTCTCTTTCCACTTTCATACCTCATGTATTCTATTATCCTCCTCACCTTCTTCCTTAAAGCCTCTTGTGTTAGTTACTTTTCTATTGCTGTGATAAAACACCATGACCAAGACAACTTACAGAAAAGTTTATTTGGGAGCATCCACAATGGCAGTGGAAGCAGCATGGTGGCAGGAGGCCAGAGCAGAAAGCCAAGAGCTCACATCTCAAGCACATGCAGAAAGCAGAGAGAGAGAGGGAAATTATAAGTGTGACCAGGCTATGATCTCTCAAAACCTACCCATAGCGACATATATACTTCCTAAACTGCTGCAAGCAGTGTTGCCAACTGGAGATCAAGTGTTCAGACATATGAGCCTATGGGGGACATTTATCATTCAAACCACTACATTCTACTCCCTGGTTCCCACAGGCTCATGGCTGCATCATAACACAAAATATGTTTGGTACAATTTTTTAAAAAGTTCCCATAGTCTTTAACAGTCTCAATACAAAACAAACAAACAAAAACCAAAACAACAACAACAAAAAAATCAAAATCAGTCCAAAGACTCCAAGAAAATATTAACTGTAACTCCCTGTCAAATAAAAAAGACAAATTATTAGGGGCTGAAGAGATGGCTCAGCAATTAAGAGCACTGACTGCTCTTGCAGAGGACCCGGGCTTGATTCCCAGCGCCCACATGGAGGCTATGAACCATCCTTAACTCCAATTCCAGGGGAATCCAAAGCCCTTGTCTGACCTCTGCAGCTTTGCACAACACGGGTGCACTCACATACATGTAGGCAATATACTCATACACATAAAAGAAAAGACAAATTATGTACTTATAACATACTGTAGCACAGAATACACATTACCATTATGAAAGAGGAATGGAGGCACAGTGAGGAAATACTAGACTGAAATAAGACTGGAACCCAGTTGGTAAAACACCAAATCCTGTTGCTCCATGTCTGATGTCTGAGACTTTAGTTCCAAAGGGCTTAGATGGCTCTGCCCACTCCTCCAGGTTTGTTGCCTGCAACATACATCTTTCTTTTGGCCCGGTTCCACTTCCTGTATGTTGCTCTTCTTGGTAATGTCTCACAGCTTTGTCATCTCCAACATCTTGACATCTTCATTACAACCCAGGCTTCAAATTTACAGCTTCATTAAATGAGCTCTTAGGGCCTCCATGCAGATGCCCTGCCACACATTGCCTGGCCTCAGAAGCTCTTTGAAATCATGGAGGGGTAAACCACAACCCCTTTACTCTTGCATCGTTCATGTTTCCAATGCCAGTACCACATGAACAACACTGCCAAGTTTGGCTGCCTGCTTCGGATGGGCCCTTAGTCCTTGGAATCATATTTGCAGCAGCTATTGTTGTTAGACTTTCTCCTTCCACAAGTTGGAAGCTTAGATGAGTGGGGTCTTGCTCTGAGGGTACTTTTCCCATGTTGTAGTGACCAGCAGGAGGCCTCTACTCAATGGTACTAATCTCCTTAGTAATTAAAACATCTTTAGCGCAGGCATTTACTGCAACATTAAATTTTCTAGTACTTTTTTCTTCTTCAAACTGTACATTTTGTATTTCTTTCTGCCCCACTTGTTCCTTTTCACCATAAATCTGCATAAGAGTCACTAATAACAGTATCACAGATTCAACATTAGGCTGTCTTGAAATTTCCTCTGCCACAGAGTTCATTACTTTTTAATTCAACCTGAGGCAAGTTCTTAGGATAATGGCAGAAGGCAGTTCCTTAAATATCACAGGAATGGCCTCTAGCCCAGTTCAAGTCCTTGCTTTCCTCTCCCTTTGAAGCCTCTTGAGCTGGGCATCTACAACCCGTATTACTCTCAGCACTACTGTCCCTCAAACCTCTACTAGAATGGCTCATTAAGCTCTGCTTAGACTATTCAACCACTTTTCTAGTCCAAAGTTCCAAAGTCTTCTACATCTTTCCCAGAACACCATGGTCAGATTCTTCACAGCAACAGCCCACTCTCAGTACCAACTTCTGTTAGTTACTTTTCTGTTGCTGTGATAAAACACCAAAGCAACTTATAGGTGTGCGCGCCCACTGGGCGCACTCCCGGAATGGCACAGCGGGCTTCTCTGCGGCTTCAGGTCTCGCGTCTCTGTCCGCCGCTCCGGTGCTGAAAGTCTCCGCTGCTGGAGCGTTGTCCAGCCGAATCCC